GGAGCCTGCTTTAGCAGCAAGGCAGCTGGAAATCAACTGCTGGAGGGAAGAGAAACTATCCGTGATGAATCATTTGGCTTTGTGCAATCTTTACCTAGGACAGAGGGTAAATGTATTTTAACATACGTGTGTTATTTCTTGGGAAGGGGGTGTCGATATGATATTCAGCGAGCACTAAGGTAAGGTACCGAGTCCAACTTTCTGGATTTTAAGGCGAACTTTAAAAGACAGAATTTGACCTTGCAAGCAGGAAAGTTTTACCTTCGCAGGGAAGTAAGTTGAAGCTGTCGGCTGCCAGAGAGCTCAAAGGTGGTGGTGTCTGAATGCCTGCAGGTCTGCAGCACTGGGGGTACAGGAACTTAGAAAGGAAATCTTATACGATCTTTGCTTTGCTAGTGAAAGTGTAATTGCGATGCTCTGCACTGAGCAGGTAAATGTGGGCATGTTGTAGCATCCATCTATAGCTGTAGACCAGCTGCCCAGGTTGCAGCATTTGCTTCTCTTACTGAAAAGTTTTGTGTGTGTGTGTGTGTGTATGTGTGTGTATGTGTGTGTGTGTATGTGTGTGTGTGTGTGTGTAGGTGTGCATCTAAGAGAGAGAGAGAGAAAAAGAGTGTTGGCTCCAGTTCTTAAGTGTGAAAAGTTAATAAATACAAAGAACAGAATGAGCATGTGAGGCCTTTCTGCTTTAATCTAGATTGTTTGCCAAGAGGATTGAAGACTTACAAAATGAAAGCATTCAAATGGATAGCTTTGAACAACTGATTTTACACGTAGTTGTAAACTGAGTAAATTAATTAGCGGTGCCTTCTTATGCAACTGTTCTGTTGGTCATCATGGCTCTGCCAATCCCAAGCCATGGCATGGGTTTGTGCAGGTCGGCAGCATCATCTCGCTGTCCCTCGATTCAGAGTGCAGGAGGTGCAGTTACACCTCAGATTGGCTCAGGAAAGAAAAACCAATCATATTTACTGTCAACAGCAAGTTTATGGGAGATAACCTACTTGAAATTGTTGTAGGCTGCCCTCGGTTCCACGTCAGATTCCAAATGGGCAACATGTAGATCTTCACAGCGTTTGTCAGGCGGTGTCAATGTTGCTTTAAGTCTGTAACATAAAAACAAAGCGAACTCAGCTGAAAGAGCTCGCTAAAGTCTGTTTAGCCCATAAGCAAATTCCGTTGCTGAAATATTTCCAGGAGTGGCAATAACCCCTCCAAAAGAGAAGGCGATGAAAACGCAGATAGTAAGTGTAGCTGCATTAACTGCCTCTAGATCATGTCCCTGAAGACGTCCATCAAAGCCTGAGTCCTGAAGAGGTTCTGTTTTACCTGCTGTGGCCTGTTCCAGCATCACACTCTTTCATTCTCATTCCATGTTTTTACAATAAAACTTGTATGAGCATTGGCTCCAGGTTCTCAGAGGAAAAGCTCATAACCCTGTGAGAGAGACCTGGCTGGGCTTTGGATGGGAAATACCTGCTTGCCTGAGTGTGCAGGCTGGTTCTGACCAGAAGGGAACTCTCCAGCGTTTCCTATTGATCACAGTGGGTTTTCCTTGCTCAAACTTTCGAGAAAGCTGTATGTGTTTCTTTCTCAAAAGCTGTTAACTGCATTGTACAGGAAAGGGGCTTTGACGAGGATCAATTTTTATTGCACAGCAAAGACTTGCATTTTCCAAATGCTTAAGGATATAGCCCACAGCATTAAGCGTCTTTGCTTGGATTTGAACAGTGTTACGTTGTTTATGTGCAAGAACCACAAAGGTTATTTTAAATCATTGTGGGGCTTAATGCATGTTTGTGCTCTGGCACCAAAAATTCAAGATGAAATATAATCGTGTTGAGTTTCTTATCAACAAAGGGCCATTATTTGTAGACTGTAAGTGAAACAAGACATCAACAGTGGGGGAGGATGTAATGTCAGCTTTCAGCGTTTAAGTGTTTAAGGGTATTAAGTTTTTTTGTCGCTTTTTCTTTTTGTTTGTTTGTTTTGGTGGGGGTTTTTTAATGACTGCTTTCTAGGGAATACAGATTGGAACTGACACAAAGCTGACCAGGGGTAAAGGAATAGAGCAGGCAGGCTGCAAAGAAAAATGACAAATAATTATCATGATTAATACAGGAAAGTTCAGTGGGAAAATGGGCACCAGAGTATTTGCATGGCGCAGTGAAAGACAACTGTGATATATAAATAGACAAGGACTATAAATATTGAATTTCTCCTTGTATTTTAAAGTTTAATAGACTCATCTAAATATCAAAACCTGTAGTGTACTGTGGGCCACTGCGGAGTTGACATCTGCAGTGGAAAAAAAAAAAAGAAAAAAAAAAAAGCACAACTTCAGGACATTTCCCAAACTGTAGCCTGGAAAACTAGGAGGACTTCTTCAGGCAGTTCTCCAGCTCTCCCAGCTAATTATAGTGCTTTACACCGTGCCGCTCTTGAGATAAGTGCAACTATTTTCTTCCCTAGCACCGGTGAGTTTTATTCCAGAGCTTAAACAAACATCCCCCAGCGCAATGGGCACAGGAGGCAGAGGGAGCAGCACGGAACACTGCGTGCAGACCATTGTGTAAACACTGAGTGTCTTTTCTTTCCAAACAATGCAATAGTCCGTCAGCACTCCGCATAGAAGGAAGCTGCTGGTAAAGATTCGCTAAAAGTATCATTATACCTTGGCAGCACCAGGGTATAACGTAGGAGAAGGACTAGAGAAGCCCTTCTAGAAGACAAACCCAATGGCAAAGCTATTAATATTCTCAGAAATAAAAAAAAATTAGCATTTCAGGTGACAAAAGAAAGAGCACTTTCTTCCCATCCAAAAATCAATACAGAATTCCAAACCGATTATTTATGTCATTTGATTCCCTTTCTCTATACGTTTCTCCTGGCTACAGATACTGAGCTGTCAGGATAATTTGCATGTACTGTATCTGATATCTTTTATTTGCAAACACTCTAAAGCGCCATAAAACGCCTCTCGTTGTAGTCTAACTCGATCTGAGAACTAGTATTTTCATCTGTAAATTAAAGCAATTACGCAGCAGATATTATATTATGTGTACTGTGGTCTCCAGATAGTCATCAATCACCCTCAATCGAGCTGTCAGTGTGGGCAGATTCGTTTCTGGGAGGCAGTCTTCCAGCTGGGGAGAAGAAGAGAATATCATCATTAATTAGAGTGTGACCCTGGGGCTATTCACATGTCTGAACCCAGGAAATCTCTCTGAGCAAGTCTGCACACCATGGAGCAGCGTTCGACTGCACCAGCAGCCCAGCTTCAGCCTCGGAGCTGACTCCTCCGCTTCCTCCATCCTCCGGGGGGCTGCCTGCTTGCCCTGCCCCGGTGGTACCGGCCGTCGGGGGAGAGGTGCTGGGGCTGCCAGCATCTTCCCCCCACGGCCCGTTCCCTCCGAGCATGCAGCAGAAGGGGGTTGCTGCCTGCTTGTGTGTGTGTGTGTGTGGGGGGGGGGGGGGGGGGGGTCCCAGAGCCCCAGAGGGTAGGGAGGCTGATGGCAGCGGTGGGATGGGTCGGGTAGAAGGGGGTGTTGGGAGTTTGAGATGGGATCAAAGTCGTTTTAACGTGAAAAGTCACATCGTTTCCATCATTCCTCGGAAGACCCTTGTAGGGTTTTCTACCTGTAATCACATGCCTGGAATAAAAGCCGAAAAGAAAAGCAGGCTTGCTTATCATGTGCTTTATTGTCAGCGTTAGCGCTAATTTTAACTGTTGATTAAATCTTAAATGAAGACTCAGTCGTGTGTCCCTTCATATGTCTTGTTTGTAATTGAGACTAATTATTACTGTGGGGTGGGAAGAAGCAGCTGCTCATTAATTAATTTCTAATTAAAAGTACTTACTAGCCTTTCAGTGACTAAGGAGGGTGGGGAAAATAGCTGATATAACATTGATCCTTCAGATTAAAAACATTCATTTCCTTCCCTTGCCCGCAGAAATAAATGTGTTGCAAGCAGGCGTTGCCGTTACCGAAGAGCTTCCCAAACTTTTCGCCCCTGTTAGGCAGGCTGAAGGCGATGCTGGAGAGTCTGTTTTCCATGCCAGGGGAAAGATTCCCGAAAATGAGTGTTAAACTTACAGGCAGGTTAATTTGAGTAGGTTTTGCGTGACGTCAGAGGCTCGACTCTTTTAAAACAACGTGCTTGTGTGCTGATGCATTTGTATCACTTTTCTTCTTCCCACCTTTTATTTTTCCGCCGGTGCAAAGTATTTATTTTTGCCATCACGTCTACTTGGAGCCTAGATGTAACAATTATTTCTGTGTCGTAGCTGTAGCGGGGAAGGTGCTAAAATCGCCGTACATATTTAAAAGAAAAAAAAAAGTTTAAGTTTTCATGTAAATAAATTAAATGTGGTTTTCTGCTTCGTCCTATAAGCATCTAGGGACCTGTGGTTACCAATCAATTGGTACAACAGAGCAGAGCCAGGCTGCGATAGCGTGCAGATCAGACGCCTCGCCTTGTTTCTAGATATCTGGGAGCCTCTGTACCATGTCCTATCCTCAGTTTGGCTACCCTTACTCCTCTGCACCCCAGGTAAGACTTTTTGCCTACCAACGCTAACTGATTGAATTTCAGTCCTTATCGATGCCTTCCGTCCGGGATGAGGGCGGCAGCGATCCTCTCCCGCCTGCGGTAGCGGCAAAGCTGATGCTCGCTCTGCAGCTTTCCAAGATTCCCAAGTTCTGTGTCGGGCATCAGTTTTAAAATGTGAAGAAACAGGCGGGATTTAGGATGTTTGGGGGTGATAAAGACGCGTGGGATATGATTACAGAGATGAGAGAGGTGAGAAGGAGAGCTAGAGATCCCCAACCCCCACCCGCACCCCCCCCCCTTTTTTTTTCTCTTTCACGATTAAATTCAGTTTATCAATTAAACATGGACGTACGAAGGTCCGGCCCGCAGAAACAGAATGGGATACTCTAAACCAGCAGGTTAATAACAGATGCGTGCGTAGCTGCTACAAATCTGCAGTCAAAATAAATATGCATGAATGACTTCGAAAAAAAGGTTTAAAAACGCAGATGGGAGTCGTTGTGCTACGAGAGGAGAAAACGGTGTAAACCCCAGTCTTGTGAAAACACCCCAGGAAAAGTTAGCTTTTAAATGCAGAGGGCCTGAGGAATGTATTACAGAGGATTAAACAGACACAGTCACGGGGCATTGGTTGTTGTTGTTGTTGTTGTCTTGGAGTCGTTTTTAAAAACTGATAAGATACTTGCAGCTCTGCGCTTCTCCAGAGCGCTTCTATCACGATTGAAGTAAAATACGGCACAGGAGGGAGGAGGGCGAGCGACACCCCAAAGCTACGACCTGATTTGAAAAAAAACCCAAAACAACAAAACAAACCCAAACAAAATCCCACCAAGCCCACACACTCTGGAAACAACCGAACTTGGTTATAGTTTGAGAAGTTCCCCCCACCCCACCCTCAGCTCCGCTCTCTTTCCCTCCAGTTCCTGATGAGCACCAACTCCCTGACGACCTGCTGCGAGTCCAGCAGCCGGACGCTGGCTGAGACGGGGGCAGCCGCCTCCGCCCAGACCCCCGTGTACTGCCCGGTGTACGAGAGCCGCCTGCTCGCCACCGCCCGACACGAGCTCAACTCCGCCGCCGCCCTGGGGGTCTACGGCGGACCCTACGCCGGGCCCCAGGGCTATGGAAACTACGTGACCTACGGTACCGAGGCTCCCCCCTTCTACTCCTTGGTAAGCCGCCCCGGGGGATGCTCTCTCTCTCCCTCCCTCCCTCCCGTCCCCGCGCTCCCCCCGTGCCCCCGGGGGCGGAGGGACCCCCTCCCCGGGCGGGGGCAGCCCCGGGCGCTTCTCCTCGGCCCCGCCGTGCCGCACGGCTCTCCCCGCGTCCGGCCCCGCCGTCAGCGGCTCTTCCAGCCCGGCGCTCGCTCCTCACGGTAACGCAATTAAAAGTCGCGCCTGACGAGCTGGCGGTCGAGTGCGGTGGGCCCATCCGGGCCGGCAGTTTAGGGCGACTCACACCCAGGCTTGCAAAAAAAAAAATATGCCCTCTTCCCATACAGCGTTTTTTTTGTTTTGTTTTGTTTTTTGTTTTTGTTTTTTTTTTCCCTCCCTGCACCGTAACAGCGCGAGTTAATGTCCCTATTGATGTCGCTGGGCACCGAGGGGCCCCGGGAAGGTCCGTCGCGCCGGGACGCGGGCGGGGGAGCCGGGCGCTGTGCCGGGCGGGGGCCGGGCTCTCCCGGCGGCGGGGCTGAGGGCGGCGGGCGGTGTCTCTTGCAGAACAGTTTGGATGCGAAGGACGGGAGCGGCTCTGCGCATGCGGGCATCGCCCCGGCGGCTGCCTACTACCCCTACGATCACACCCTCAGTCAGTACCAGTACGACAGGTAAGCGCCATCCCCTCCCCGGCCCCGCTCGCTGCCCACCACCCTCGCCACCCCCTCCCCGCCATCGCCTCCCCGCCCCGCCCCGCCAAGCCCGCCAACCTGCCTCCTCGCCGCTCAGCATCTCCCGGCTCCAGCCATGCCGCCTCCCCTTCCCCACACCGACACCGGGTCCTCCGCCCCCCGGGCGGGCGGGAGCGCGGGGGGCGATCCCTCTTAACCGGGGCGGTAATTACCTTTCCCTGCTCGGAGTCAGGCTTGGGCATCCCCTGTATATTTATTAGTTTTAAACCAGCGCAAACCCCCTTACACACCGTTCCCAGCTCAGAGGCCCATTGGGCGCCAGTGACCTTTCCTGGAGGATGTGCATTAAATATTCAGTCGCAGCCCAGTGTCATCTGCGTTAGGTTCCTACAATTTCAGGAACAAAAGGGTAGAGGAGATTACTAATAAAAGGAGTAAGAGGAAATATATTTCTATTAACACTTACACCCTGGGGTCACCCAGATGAATTTTGTTTGGGAAGGACTAATAAAACGAGAGGAAAGTGGTATTTCTATGAGTTTGCAAGCTGCTAGGATTTTCCTGCTGCCCGAAATGTTGACATTGACTTTACCGCAAATAAAAGCAGGCGATTCCTTCCATCTTTCCGCCACCACCGCCAAGGCAAGAGCGGAAATTTGCATTGCCCGCTGCTGCTTCTGCTGGCTGAACCCTTCCTTCTTGCTTTCCTTCCTCGGCCTGAATTCTCTAGGCTGGTCTCCCTCATAAAGCTGAGCTATCCTCATCCATGTCCCCTCTCTCCGGTCCAGCTGCCCTCATGGGTGTGCAGCAGGCGAGCGGCCGGGACCGGAGCTCTGGGACCCCACGTCGGGCAGGTGCGAGGGGGGCGAGAGCGAGGTGTCACATCCCGGGGCTCCCCTGTGCCTGCAGGTACGGGTCGATGGACGGCGGGACGCGGAGAAAAAACGCCACCCGAGAGACGACCAGCACCCTCAAGGCCTGGCTGCAGGAGCACCGCAAGAACCCCTACCCCACCAAGGGCGAGAAGATCATGCTGGCCATCATCACCAAGATGACCCTCACCCAGGTCTCCACCTGGTTCGCCAACGCCCGCCGGCGGCTCAAGAAGGAGAACAAGATGACCTGGCCTCCGCGGAACAAGTGCTCTGACGAGAAGCGGCCCTATGAGGAAGAGGAGGAGGAGGAGGAGGGCTCGCAGGAAGAGGCGATGAAGAGCGGGAAAGCCGAGGGTACCCTGCTAAAACCAGGCACTTAGCGGTGCGGCCGCGGGGGCTCGGCCGGCAGCTCGCCCCCGGGGCGGGCCTCGCTGGGGGGGGCGGCCGCGGGCCTCGCTGGTGGGGGCGGCCTCGGGGCAGCGCGGCGCCGACAGTGACCGTGTGTCTTGTTTTTGCTGTCCCTTCCCCCGCCCCCGCCCCGCAGAACCCACGGGCAAGGAGGAGAAGGAGCTGGAGCTCAGCGACCTGGAGGACTTGGACGCCGCCGAGTCGGAGAGCTCGGAGTGCGAGTTGAGGCGGCCCTTCCCGCACCCGCTCCCGCATCCGCACCCGCTCCCGCTCCCGGGCGGCAGCCACCCCCCTCGGGCCGCAGAGCTCCCCGCCAAGATGCCGCCGCCGCCGGCCGCCGCCGGGGACGACGAGGAGGAGGAGGAGGAGGAGGCGGCTGCGGCAGAGCGGGCGCGGAGCTGCCTGAAGACGGCGGCGGAGGAGTGCGGCCCCGACCCGCTGGGCGCTCGGCAGCGCGGCTGCGAGTCCAAGATGTGCTTCCAGCAGGGGCAGCAGCTGCTGGAGGCGAAGCCCAGGATTTGGTCCCTGGCGCACACTGCCACCTCCCTCAACCAGGCCGAGTACCCCTCCTGCATGCTGAAAAGGCCGGGGGGCTCGGCCGCCGCCGCCGCTCCCGCCCCGGGCAGCGTAATGGACAGGCACCAGGATTCGCCGGTCACCAACCTCAGGAACTGGGTGGACGGGGTGTTTCACGATCCCCTGTTCAGGCACAGTACTTTAAACCAAGCCCTGAGCAACACGACAGTTTCCTGGGCTACCACCAAAGGAGCCATTCTGGAAACGGGCGCCTTGGGACGCGCGGTGGGGAACGGCGCCAACGTGCTCAAGGGGCAGCTCTCAAACCTGGCCCACCATGACTCAAACAAAGAGTTTCTGGCGTTTCCCAAATCAGGAAGCAAAATGTTTTGTTCCTAACAGGCTCGCCGAGGGGCAAAGGACTTTCTAACGCTTGAAGAGTCAGCTACACTGAAAAAAGACTTGCAAGAGTTTAAATTTAAATATAAAACTTTTTCTTCTTCTTTTTTTTTTTTTTTTTTTTTAAAGCAAACAACATAAACGAGGATTTAAAGTTCAGTTTGCTCAGTTCGAAGGAAAGACTTTGCTCATTGCTGTTCTGAACATTTTCTCCTGGCTGCGACTTTAAGGGATCAATGTCGTGAAAGTTATTTAATTCCATGTCCAAAAAGCACGTACTATAGTGTAGACCTACCTACTTAAAAAGTTTACATCCGAAAGTTTACAAACGGGAAATTTTAATTCAGATTTAATTTAAGGCATGCCGACATTAGTTATAAAGACTTTTCGAGAGTTTTTCCTCTTGATTTCCTTGTTAGCATATAATTCACAAACAGCACTTCTACTAAGTTTACACCTACCGCACAAATTTATCTTGACAAAAAAAAAAAAAAAAGAATATGTTAAAAGGTATGCTCACTCCAATAAATTGTCTGTTTCAGAGGTAACACAAGTGGTGGCGTTTTGCATTGGGCAACAAACAACTTCTGTGTTTCAAATTCCCCCTCGGAGCCGATCCCGGTAATTCCAAGGACTGTCAACAGGCTGCAGGGAGAGGGGAAGAGAGGCTCAGCGCTGCGCTGCCGCGGGACTGAGGACGGACCCCGGGAGGCAGGCTGAGCGCAGGAGGGATGCTGGGCTGCGCTCCGAGCCGGCCGTGCCTCCGCGGGGCAGCGCCGGGCCCCGGCCGCCTCCCGGGCCGACATCGGGGACGCCGGCTGTCCGCCGAGGCCCGGCGGGGCGGGAGCATCCCCCCTTTTCCCCTCCCCTCCTTCCCGAGCTGCGGGCGGGCGGGGGTCGGCCCCCAAGGGCCGGGCTCTGCCGCGGCGTCGCCTCCGCCGTGCGCGGAGCAATTGATTCACATGGAAAATTTGATCTTTTAAAGAACCGTTTTAGCTTTCCAGCTCCTCTGCCAGTGCGGAGAATCGCTGCTCCGCCATGAATATTTCAGCACTTCAGTACAGATGCTTTACCGTTTTGACATTAAATAGAGTGCAGCCAACAAAAAGAGAGAGGGAGGAAGAGCGCTCTCGACGTGTGATTCAGGAGCACTCGCAGCCAATTTACCACTTAGATAACAGGCGCTTAAAATATTTCATTTCCTTCCCCGGAATGGGAACAAACTTTACTGATCCCCGGACCGGGAGGCAGGGGAAACTGCTGGAAAAGAAACTGCGAGGCGATAATAGACCCCGGCTTATCCGGGCCGGCCTAAAGCCCCTGAAGTTCGGCGCCCGGCGCAGCGGGGAAAAACCGAGAGCACCCGAAGGACCAAACTGACATCGGGACAAGCAGAAGAGCCTTCCTTGCCTCCCAGCATTCTCGCCCATCCCAGCCCAGAGGCTCCCCGTCAGTCCACCCCCCCCCTTCACAATAAATAAATAAGAATACAATAAAAGGGAAAAATATATAAAGGCAACCGAGAAAACACTCAGCCAAAATATAACATACTCCAGCCTGCGAAGTTTCTAGCGAGACCTGTTAGTGCAAGGACTGAATAAAGGAATCCAGGTGCGGAGATCAGATCAAGCCCTTCCCCTCTCTTCGAGCAGCCGTAATTGGATTGTATCCAGTCATATTCCCTGTCATTGTATTGACTTTCGCTCTCTTGGATGATATTATCGAGATCACTGAACCCCTCTGCTGATCTGGCTGTCAAAAGGCTCAGACAGGAGCCCCCGGCCTGGAAAACGTGCATCAGCCGAGATAATTTGAAGTGAAATTTTCATTTTGACAGTAAACCCCTCAATTTCTAAAGGCTCTGCACCCGGAGAGCTCGGTGGCAGGGGGAGGCTTTACAGAAAGCCCACGTCTTAAACTGAAAAGGGCAAAAGAACTCGAATTAGTTGTAATAGATAAAAGGGCAAAAATAAAGAGTCAAGGGTACTTGACAGTAATAGCGAAAGTGGAGTCTCGGGGGAGCCGCGATCTGAGCTAAAGGCAGGGCCGGCAGGAATTTTAATGCAGCCGGGGCGGCCGGCGAGCTTTGCCTCTGAAATCCTTTAGACAAAGCAAATTATTTTCAGCCAAACTAAAGAAACGGGGATGAACGAGGCGAGGGAGAGGGAAGTAGAGAAAGGCGAGTGTTCGGGCTGCCCTCAGACCATTGGTAGAGTCAAGCGGGATGGGGCATAAACCTCTCTGACTGCTGCGAGGGTGATGTTAAAGCGGGGAGGTTTGTGCGTGCCAGCCTTGCTGGATGAGCAGGGACTGGAGGGGACACGGGGGCTCCCGGTGGCCTTCGGTTTCCATGCGACAGAGGGTCTGTGGAGTGGAAGGGGAGTCCATTCTTTCTCCTAACACAGCGACAGCCGAGTGTGTGTGTGTGTGTGTATTCTGTGTGTCTGCGTGCAAGGAGAGGTCTCGTCCACTGAGCAGCCAAAAATCTCTCTCAGCCTGAAAAGCTCCCTGACTTTGAGGAGCACCGGCCCCCGCCGGCCTCCCTGGGCTGGCTCTCGGCGGGTGACCCCGCAAGCCATGTAAGTCATTTTACAAGTCATTGCTGGCCGGCTCTGGCTAGGTCCAGGATTCAATTCGGACATCCCGTTGTTTGGGAGGCAACACCCTCCCAACTCCCCCACCTCCTCCCCTCCTCCTGACTTAAAATGAAGGTGATAGCACCGTGGGCAAAACACAGGCGCGCTGAAATACCAGAAGCCAAAGGAAAAGCGGATCAACACTTTATCCCTTCATTTTCGTGTTATTGTTGTTATAAAACAAGTTTGAGTAAGTTTATGACTGCTGTATAACCGGAGCAGGGCTCTCCAGACCAGGGAACCAGCTCTGTCTCAGGTCTGCTAAATTTGTGTGTGCTCACACCAAAACATTGACCCTCCTGAGAAGAGATCGTGTCAGTTAAGGGGGAGGGAAAAGGAATTCTTGCTTTAATACACAAACCTTATGACTTAGATCAGCCATGAAATGCAGAGGTCTTTCAAAAAGGTTGGGGCTCTTGTTTTTTGGATGTTTTGATTTTTTATTTTTTTTCTAATATGAACAAAAGAGTGGGAGAAATTAATTTTGCCATTTGATTCAACAGCACTAGTCAAAGATCAGGTTCTGCTGCTTTAGAGGAATCTGCAGGGCTGGAAGAGAAAGCTGTGCAGTTCATATGTCTGTACAAAGCAGAAATATAAAGGCAGACTGAGAAAGAAAGAGGAGGGGAAAAAAATCATAGAGAAGCGTCTTGAAACTGAGAGACTCTAAATCATTCAGCCATGGCAAATTCAAACACACAAAGGAGGGGATGCTAAATTAACAGTGCTTTTTACATAGAGCCCAAATAAAACTGTAATCAGCGACGCGTTACTTTTCATTAAGCGAGTTTGACAGGAGCATATTCAGCCTCGACAAGGGAACAGGAGTGAAGAAATATACGGCTCTCCCAGCCCGAGTCATAAGATAATTCCTTAAGCTCCATTAACAACTCTTAGCCGCAGGAAATGGGCTCCCTGAAAACATCTCCAAATCTAAAAGCTTTATCGACCTCTCAAACCTCTGCTGATGGTTCTATTTTTTTAAAAAATCTTAGAGGCAAGACGTCCAGCAAGGTAATAGACTTTGACACAACACCTTCTTAACTAGAGAGAGAGAGGCAGAGAAAACGAGACCTTAAATGATATTTAAAAGGCAGCCAATTAAGATTTAAAATGATTGTCTCCTGAGATTATGCATGCGATTTATGTCATCTACTTTTTTTTTCCCAGACATGCATGAAAAACTGCAATGGGGTGTATTGCCTGTTCCTCAAATGATGATGATGATGATGGTGATGATAATAATAATAATGATAATAATAATAATAGTAGAAGAAGAAACAGTAGCAATTAACAATCTGTAGCTATCTCACATAATTGCAAATTATGATCCAGGAAAGGGCTAGTGTTTAGGTAACCTGATTATAGAGCACCTTGCAACAGCCAGCTTGTTTATAGGTGTCTAATTTAAAGACAGATAGATTCACACATTATCCACTAATGTTCAGGAGCACATTTCTTTCCATCCTGAGTGAATATTTGACTATTAAAGGCACATAATTAATTTATAGTCAACAATCCAGTGCAGCACCTCCTTCCCATTGGCCACATGGTCAAATGTCCAAGAAGATTCTGTCTTGGCAAGACTGATTATATATTTTTAAGATAAAATGGTTCAGAAGGAGACTCTTAGTACAGTCTTTTTGCTACACGTTTGCCTTTTCCATTTAAATCTGACCTTCAAATCATATGAAGGCTTGCGTGTGTGAAAGTGTATCCAGCTAAATGCCAAGAAAAGAGTTAATGCTCACACTGTACCATTTCATGCAGAAATTCTGTAAAATGCAAGAAAATATTATAACTTGCTGATTTTGTTAGAGATCAGAAACTGTTTCAATGAGTGTGATTTCTGGATGAATGAGGTGAAAAAAGGACACTCAAACACCACTCTGTTTTGGCCAAAGGTCAAAGTGTTTTGGTCTCTACTTAGATGAAGTTAGTTCTGTCTATGAAGCAATGATCTTGGATCTGAGTCCTGTGTCTCTTGAGGGCTGAGCATGTAACTTAGTCCTTTAAAAAAGTGAAGAATGAAGGAATGTTAATGGTCAGATTATACATTTTTATTTGCATGGTAAAAAATAATAATTATGCTTGTTCTTAAAGAGGAATCTATTTTTAATAGAATAGCTAATGGTCAAAACATCAGTCCTGAAATGTGACATCTGGCATGTTTCAACTCACATTTACTGTCAAAAAGTCTATGAGGTGATTAGGACTTGTGGGAAGCATTCTCTTCATACTCCTTGGGAAATGGCATCACAGCAGATAATAATCCTCAATTTGTAGCCCCCCTCAAAAAGCAGTCTTAATATACACACCAGCTATATATGCCTGGAGGCAGTTTAATACATAAATCATTGGTCT